ACGGTAGTGCTCTTACCAGTGCTGAAGGAGGCCTTTATTGTCTTTAATTAGGAAGTTACCGTCAGATGAACCGGAGGGGGGCTGCGCCTCGAATGATTTTCCCGTAAAATGTTTTAATGGAATTGAAAATTTCATGCATCTTGTGCTGATATACAATTTTTTGTATTTCACATCCTTTATTTTTAAGGCAGTCTTTCTTTGATTGCGAAGTTCATGTTGGGCAGCCGCTTTCTTCTTGCGGAAGGTATCAGCTTTGGTCCGAGACTGAGGGTTGTTTGGCCAGTCAGTAAAAGCGGCACGTTTATCATCGACGAGTACTTTGACTGCCGGGTCATTTTCATCAAACCAGTCCTGGTGTATTCTTTTGATCTGGCCGAGGGTCTCTCAGCAGGTTTTTGTCATAACAGTGTTGAGAGTATCCCATTCGGCACTGGGATATGCGTTGTTTGCTGTTGGGTTGTTTATAAGCCCATGTTTGAGCTGCTCTCTGAAAGCATGTGCTACCGCTGGATCCTCCAGAAGCTTAGTATTAAAACCTCTTCTGGAGGCTTGCTGCCTTCGCCGTTTTGGGGCAACGTGAAGTGAGAGCTTGGCTCTGACAAGTCGATGATCAGTGTCACAGTGCCACGCATGGCACGAGTGATGAGGACATCTCGGCGATCTCTTTCTCTTACAATGATGTAGTCAATGAGATGATAGTGTTTGGTTCGTGGGTGTTGCCTATTCGCCGTCCCTCTGGGGTCCACTACTACTCCGAGTTCCCCTACTGCTCTAGCCTGGGCCCACGAGGCACCCAGTTACCGTGTGTTGCCACGGGGAGGCACAGTAGAAGTCTTGACGGTGAGGAGGCTGTATACTGGCAGGGGAAGACTTATGCAAGTTGCTTCCCTGTTCGCCACGAGAGCTAGCCAGCGGCGGTAGCTGAAAGCGAGGGGGAGCAAGCAGTGCTTGCACCTTACCACTAACATAATGCTGCCACACTAAACGCATTTCACCCCCCCGTGTGCGACACACACACAGGCTTGCGAGTCTAAATTATATACCAGTAAGGGAGTTCAAAGACCAGATTAGGTTAGGCTAGGGTAGGTTCTTTTAGCTATGTTTTTAATTTCATTTTTCCCTTTGCTTGAATCCCTTCTTCCCACCTTCGGTAGGATCAAGATTGAGAGGAGGGTAAGAAGGGTCATAATTCAATAATTATGCATTTACCTAAGGATTCATCATCACCACTGTATTCAGCATGAAAAAAGTAAATCATTAAAAACAAAATGTTTTTAATGCCCAAATCGTTTTCCGGTGTTGCGGATTTAAATTATAAAAAAAATTAGACAAAATTTTAAAAGAAAATGTTCAGTTTAAAAAAAATGTCTCCGAAAGTTCTGTAAGATGTTTAAAATTTTAATGGTTTGGAAAGAATTTGGATTCTGTGTGGAAAGTGGATGTAAATTAGCAGTAGAAAGCTTACCCGAGAGGTGTCCATACTTTACACACACAAAATCTAAGTTGAAAATAATTCGATTAATTTTTCAAAATTTAAAAAATAAATACAAATATAAATTATTCTGAGATTCTTTTCAATATATCTTATAATCGCTTCTTATCTCTTATATTTAATTTTCCTAGATTCATGGGGATTAATGCCACAAACTATGAAATCAAATTTCTCAAGAGGGTCTCGGAGATATTAAATAATTTATAATTTTCTTATTTATTTAACAGAGTTGTTAACAGTGGAAAGCATTACTCGGTTATTCCATATCCAGTTACAACAAATACAAACATGAAGAATCATATCAAATCCCAGAGTGGAAGTATAGCTCTTAAGTTATATTAAGCTTTGGCGGCCTTCAAACACACAAGAAAAAATATTAAAAATTATTATTCAACTAGATTTAAAACTACGGTATAAACAACGCTGGAAAATGCCCATATTTGCGTATCAGTCATATGTTAGCTCCGATAAAAAAGACTAAATGTCACACAAACATATCATTTGAGACACACAAAACACATCGAAATAAAATTGATCAATACATTACAAACATAACACTCACAGGTGTTCATTATAGAGCAGTCAAAACAAATATGTATCGTGAATGCCACTTCAATCTTTTCAAAACATTCATTGAATGGATGTCATATTAAATTTATAATAACAGAATTCCTTCCTAACCATATCACTCTGTAAATTCACAATTATTACCTGAGGTACATGTCACTTTCTGGAACTCACAATTTTCAAGAACTGTCCTTGTATGTAATCACTTTTCTGCCATTCTCCACTTATCCACTAAATCCCATGGGGGAAAAATACTTTATTCTTTGCCACCTAACTAAACAGAATTTCATGCACATTACCCACCAATATAACACCGTATTCTCTGTAAAATTGTACAAACAATTATTTCAAATGGCGAAGAGGATAAAGTAACATATATAAAGCTGTGTAAATATTACAGAAGTGTACCCTACATATTCTCTTTCAATATTATATTAAAGAAAATGACAACTTTTACTGGCTAACTATCTCAGCATAACGATAGACTCTGCTACTACTACTTACTACTAAACTCTAAGAGTACGACACTCTTAGACTCTCTAGAGTCTGTAGCGTCAAACTTAAATTTAATTCAGTCTCTGTTGGAGATAGGAAGCCAATGGTTCGTTTGATCCCCCCCCCCCATTACTCCTGATGAGTTTTTGTTCATATATCCGGTCTTAGTAAAGGAGAAAATCGGGAAAAAAAATCTGTGGTGTCCGGCATGGTCATACTGGACCTAGTTATGTGTATTTTAAACGAATGTGACATAGAGGACTGTGTATCATCTGCATTCATTCCTGTAACAATATTGTATGGTCAAACAGTAGCGCTTCTACATACACTGGAGCCCTAAAAAATTTAAGAGGGACATAGGTTATGGTTATAATAATTATATAGTGCTCTCATTTTCTGTGGGATTTTTAGTAATAAATATGTTTATACAGCATATATAAATATATAATCTTAATGAATGATAATCACTACGTATGAGCCTTAGCTGTGGTATGTATACTCTGATGATAAGGAATGGGGATTCAAGTTTCCTTCTCCCTAGTTACTTGTATATATACTAGACTGACACCTGTGAATCCGAGACATCACACAGTAAACCATCTATGGGCCTAACAATGTGTGTGATGTCTCGGGTTCGCAGGTTCATGGGTGAACTGAGAGCACCCAGGGATCGAGCTACCGGCCCCTGTAACAGGAGGCTAGGCGCTGTGTCCACTCGACCGCTACTCGTAAACAGTAACAAATTCCCAATCATACCTGATATGAACCCCAAGGTGAAACCACCCGATGAACCCCAATGATACTCGCTACGAATCCAGTGGACTGTAAGACTGTAATGGACCACAAAATGAACCTCTTTATTAATCCGAATTAAATGAAATAATGAAGTAAAGTAACACATCGATGAACCCAAGTAAACTTTACGATTGCTACTCCAAAACTATCCAAAAAGAACCCCATTGAATTAAACTACTACCTCAATGAATCCTACTGTGAAAACACCCGGACAGACAAGTAAAAACTATGGAAACAAATAAATAGAGCAACCATTGAGTAACCCCCCCTCCCCTCCCCATTCTGAACTCATATCCTTGGGACACGCGCTGCACGGGATTGGGAAGGAGGGGGAGGAGAGGAGGAGGCTGTGTAAAGAAACCCGTATGAGGAAGTGACGTATTATAATTAGTCTTTCCGAGAAATTGCAAAAAAAAAATCACAAATAATCACACTTGGCAAGATCACCAATGGAAACAAATCTCTATGATAAAAAGCCATAAACAAGTTTTCGATGAATAAGAAACGTATGTATTTAACACGTATCCTTACACAATTACACATCCAAATATCTATAAATACTGAGATAAATAAACGCGGGGGAAATACGTGATGACTAACACGAACACACACACAGGATGCTCCACCACATCACCCCCCCCCCTCCTCCTCCTTACCCTTGCGAGACAGAGAAATTGGGAGACGGAGGGAGGGGAAATGGGGTCTGCAGCGAGCATAAGCGGGAGGGGAGGGGGGACACGGTGGGAGACTGAAAACAGGGAGGCGACCTCGACTGTGAGAGGTTGGATACACCCATGCTCTCCTCTGTTTCACCTCTCTTAGAAAATAATAAAATATGTATTAAATTCTCTCGAGCAGCTGATTTATGACTTTCTATATATGACTGAATTGTACCGATTATTTTCCCCTGGGTTACCAGACATTAGTTACGACAAAATATATATGGAATATGGTACATTTCTTTGATTTTTTGTTTACATTTTGTCATTTACTTTACTACAGTATATATTAGAAAATAAATAAACTGCAAGTGATGACTTTTCGTGAATCCGGTAAAGAATTAGCAGTTTGGCGTCTGACGCAAGTCTGTAAAACAGTGCTTCCAGGTATGGCGGTTTACCACCAAATTTGGCTCCTTTTATCCAAGTTTGGTGGGGAGATTAAAAAATGGCGGGGTTTTTTGGGGGGTAGTTGGTGGGGGGGTAGGGTCTGGTCAAATTGATTTTTCGAAACTGGACGAAAAAAATTACTAATGTTGAAAAGAAAATTGAACCTCAGAATTTTTATGAGTGTATTGTCAAAATATTTTCAAGCACCTGTGTGTATAAATTAAAGGAATGAGGAAAGAAAAGAGAATGAGTGGCGGAGTGAGTAAAGGAGTAAGGGGGATCGAATGAGGGAGAGAAGCATCGTGAGGTTCTGGGAAGAAAGTGCAGCATGTCGCCAGGATGAATCCTAAAGGCAAGGGTAGGAAGAAATTGTAGAAAGAAGTGAATGAAGGAGAAAGAGGAAGGCAGGTAGTGAGTGAGTGAGTAAGTAAGTACGTAAGTAAGGAAGGAAGGATTGAAGGAAGGAAGGAAGGGGGGAGAGGGAGGGAGGGAGGAGAGAGGGGGACGGCGGGGACGCATCAGTCAGCGCAGTATAGGTCCAGGGAGGTCCCCGCGAGGTTGTATCCAAGGCAGCCAGCCAGCCGCGCTACACTCTCCAAGCTCACCATCAGTCAATAACACCCCAGTCAACCTTTAGCTCTCACTGTTTATGGTGATGTGCGTTATTATGGCGTATCCACATATTGAACGTCCGTGTACAGTGACCATGTTTGTTGTGTTATAGATGGTGAAGAGGCCATGTGTCCTTGGGTGTGGTGATGGGTTTGTGTTGGTTCCTTGTCAGTGGATGTGTCGCATTGCTATTGTCCTGGGTCCAGTGGCGTCCGCGGTGAGTACATTACGGATTTGTTTACATATCAGGGCAATGAGTGCACTGATCCCACCACCACCAGTAATAATATAATGACGTGTTTATTGTAGTTATATATTCATATTTATATATAATAATACTAATAACAATAATAATAATAATAATAATAATAATAATAATAATAATAATAATAATAATAATAATAATAACAATAATAATAATAATAATAATAATAATAATAATAATAATAATAATAATAATAATAATAATAATAAAGTTACATACCTGATCATTACACCAAAATAATGATGTCAACAATGGTGATACATTTATTGCAGATTCACGTGTAGAAATCCATAATATTTAAACAAATGATAATAACTAACATATTTATTTATGATTCCTTGACGAGTAGATTATTTGACGAATTATTCCTGAACACTTTCAAAGAAATATACTGTATTACCTACGTGAAAAGGTTATATATTTCGTTATAATGAAAAAACTGTAATTATGTCTTGCACAAATACAGTAATATCTTACATGTACGTATAAACATTTGTGAATATGCTACATGTGGAAATGTATTTAGAATGATATTGAAAAGAAAGTAGGTAAAGGAGGAAGAGGTAGGGGTAGGAGGGGTAGGAGGGAGAGGAGGAAGAGGTAGGGGTAGGAGGGAGAGGAGGAAGAGGTAGGAGGGAGAGGAGGAGAGGTATGGGGAAGAGGAGGAGGGGGGTTAGTAGAAGGAGGAGGAGGGGGTTCAGTAGGAAGAGGGAGAGGGGTAGGCTTGTGATGAATTCTTATGCAGTAATAATTCTAATGAAGCCCTCATATGACCTGTACGTGTATTATTAATTCTGAATTAATGTAAATATGGTGTTAATATTTATCAACCCAGAGTTTGTTTACTTTAATGATTCTCAAACTTATTTGTGTTTATACTGTAGGTTTGTTATACCTGACCTATATACCTGTTCTATATTTATGCTATACCTGTGCTATACTTATGCTATACCTGTGCTATACTTATGCTATACCTGTGCTATACTTATGCTATACGTGTACGTGTGTCTGTATTGTTGTTTTGGAACTGATGGTCTGAGGTGAAACATTCTCTTTAAATTTTTAGGTTTAAAATGGGACAGATATTGACTTTACTGGCTATTATATTCCGTTTTCAAATTTTCTACGTTATAATGTAGAAATACCTGCAACTATATTAAGTATAAGGCTGTGCCTATGTTGCTCGATTGTAGCAACTCTGTCAAAGTAAACATTGTACTCAATTATGAGAGTGGGTGTTGTTAACACAAGTATAGGCTTTCTGGTGCAGTTGAAGAAGGTGTCAGTCAGGGTCAAAGGTCTTGAACACTTAGCAATATCTGGCATCTACCTCTGAGTTATTCATATATGATTGGGATATACTAATAACACTACTTGTCATCACATATTATGCCTGAACCACAAAATGGGATAAAACTCTCCTTAATACCTAAGATCTTCGGGTACTTACATGTCAAATACTGTCACGTGTTCAAGACTTGACCCCGACTGTACATTGTCAGCTCTAAGGCAAAAGGAAATTTCCTATAAACAATAATACTGATTATTTTTCCGTTCTCTTCATTCGTAAGGTTTGGTAGAGTACACAATCGGAAACTACTAAAAGAAAATAATTCTTTTAATTTCGGCTCTGATGTATTATTATGGAGACGACATGGTTTTCACAAAGTGGGCAGGGCTTTGGACGCGAGGGAAAATGTGTGGTTAAAATATTATAAAAAACAAACAAACATTACTCATACCTTTGGTAACCTGACCTAACCTTTCTTAACGCTAAATAAAACTTTAATTTACAAAAGCTTACTTAATTTCAACTGTTGGAAGAGAATTAAGTGATTCTCTTCTTGTTTATTTGCGTGTTCTAGTACAAACAAGACATGTTTGTGTGTGTATGATAACGACCAGGGTGACCAGATTTAGCGTTTTTTTACTAAATCTAGCATTATGGGATTTTTCAGTTGTATTCTAATTTAGTATTTCCAGAAAGGCAATTATAGGTCATAAAATAAATTGAAATAACCGGAGATTTCATTTCAACTCTAAATTAGAAGTGAGTAAAGTAATTCCTTCCTAATGTAAAATGTAGCAGTTTTTCAAAACCTAGCACTTTTCCGTTTGTTCTGGTCACCTTGAAAATGAGCAAGATACTATTCTTCTACATCACTTCCTGTTATAAGTGGCTTTACTTATCCTCCTTCATCGGTTAGATAAGATAGACTTTTGTAACTTTAGAACTTATATTACGCTGTGAAAGTTAGATGTCAGCTAGGCAAAGGTTCGATTTTTTTTTACCCCACATTTCCCTCTTCTTCAAAGCCCTGCCCACTTATACAAACCATTCTCATCTCTCCATAAATATACATCAGCGTCGAAAATAAATGTCATTCTTTTAAATCATCACCATCAACGGCCTATTTTTGTTAGTAATTTCTGAGTAGGTGCTGGAGTAAATTAGTTGTTGCTGTTTAAGTGATCCAGGTACAGTATATGCTGACGTGTTTTCTTGTGGTTATCAGCATATATATATATATATATATATATATATATATATATATATATATATATATATATATATATATATATATATATATATATATATATATATATATATATATATGAATAAAGACGAAAGCTAAGGTGCTCCGTTGTTTCCCTTTTCCCGTGTGATTTTATCAAGATTTATCTTATCCACGTTTTCATTGTGATCTACATGATATATATATATATATATATATATATATATATATATATATATATATATATATATATATATATATATATATATATATATATATATATATATATATATATATATATATATATATATATATATGGTGAGCCACAAGGCTCCATACATAGGCAAAATGATCACTTTATTATACAATCACTTGTAAGTCACAAAATATGCTCCATGTGGGCACCATTACATCAGCAAGATGGCGCCACCCCATTACGGTACCCGCTGAGTCAGTGGCTGGATCAGCAGTTTCCGGCTCACTGGAATGGCCGCCGTGGTCCCGTTAGGTGGCCTCCGAGGTCCCCAGACCTCACCCTCCTAGATTTTTACTTGTGGGGGCACTTGAAGGCCATGTGATACCAGGTGAAGATACAAAACACGGACCACCTAAAGAAACGCATTCGTGATGCGTATGCGCGCATAACACCAGAATTGTTAGCCCGCGTTTGCCATGAGTGGGAGGAACCCATTCGTATGTGCATTCAGTGTTATGGTGCCCACATGAGCATATTTTGTGACTTACAAGTGATTGTATAATAAAGTGATCATTTTGCCATGTATGGAGCCTTTTGACTCACCCTATATATATATATATATATATATATATATATATATATATATATATATATATATATATATATATATATATATATATATATATATATATATATATATATTTTCACACACACAGAGGGAGGTCGAATGTAGTAAGGTATTTCTTATCTCACACCTGTTCTCACTTGCCAAAGGTCTCACAGTCTCATAACAACACATTTTCTCCCCTAACAGGAGTTGTGAGAACGTCTCCCTCTACCTCAATATACTAAGGCACAGACGTGGAGAATGAAGTGGCCTTGAGACACATAAATAGATGTGTATTAACGTAGCAATATATAAGCACCTGCACCGTGGTAATATTCACCACCCGTGGGAAATAACATACGGTGGAGGGCTTCGCTGTTTACCTGTGGTGGTGGTGACGACGACTTAGAATATTCACATCTACTGAAGATTTTATTTAACTTTATTCATTTGTATCAAGTTATTTAAGTTTACAACAAAAATTCCCCCAAATCGGTTCATGCTGCCGTAATAATGATGTAATGTTTTCCACTCTGTAGTTAGATAAGTATAAAGTATTCTACGATTTTCTTGACTAAACATCTTTACAATGTTAACACTCGATCATATTTTTTCGCCTTTGTCCACTGACCCTCTAGAGGGCAGGAGTTACTCTCAGCTGAATGAAGTCGTCTGGCGTTATCTGGAATAAAATGCCTCGCTGCTTTTCCCTAAAAGGTCAACCTGTTGACCAGTTTTTGTACATGCCCCCCTCCCCCGCTCCTCCAAGCTTAAGGAGGATATTAAATGGCTACTCAGTTATTTTATTATGTTGGTTGGCTGCTTGTCACGACGATATCTCGGGCACTTTTTAACCGTGGGAGCTAAAATTCCGACACTTGAACACAATTTTGACCAAGAGCTTTGGCGAAGACGATTAATTATTCATTTTGTTGATGGCAGGATGTGGGTAGAATGTAAAACATACCGTCACTTGTTTTCATATTTCTCACTTTGCCATAAAAACATTACACATTTTTGTACTGAAACCAGACATCGTGATGATAGCGAATATTTACCGAGACAACAGACAAACAGAAATTAGTGAGAGTCTGCCCTATCATTCTCTAAGTTATATGCTCGGTGCTTGTTCACTTTACACATATGCAGATAGAGATAGAGAGAGGGAGAAAGAGAGAGAAACTCTACGGGTAGGATGTGTCAATTTCAGAAATTGATTTTTATGAAAACGGCAGGTGATAATTCTGTAGATTTATGTGTAAGAAGCTCAGAAATACCTATAATTTCAAGATTGGATATCATTTAGCTACATCTATTTGACTTTGAAGTTTTCGCATTGGTGCACTGTAGTACGTGTTTAGGTAGATAGATCATTTCTGCAGCATTTGTACGTTTGTCCAGCAACAGAGATCGCCCTAATCTTGCATAATTGTATGTGTGCATATTGTGCAAGTTTGCGCA